CACGTACATACACACATTCACATGCACACATACATATACATCCATACTTACCGAATTATATAAAGCAGGATAAGTCACCTCGAAAGTAATGATTTGAGAAAAACTAAAGCCCAGAGCTATTGCCCAACGATAATAATATGAATACCGATACATTACAAGGAATCGGAATCACCGGTCCACAAGGGCTCGGTTTTCGTTATCTGGACGCCCAACATCAACAGTTTTATCCCATTACACCAATAAAACACCTTGTAGAAGGATTGACAATTACAAGTGTCGGCAATCACCGAAAATCGTGGTAGGAACCCGGTGTTTACAGTGATTTGATGATGAAATAAAATGAAACAAATGCAAAAATTCACTCACAACATGTTACATCCCACAAAGTGACCTCAGTCCTATATCTAACCCTGATCCATCCCATGTGGGGCACATCAATGATGACTGGGTTATATCACAACCATCACAGGCGAAACCCAGGATGGTGGAACTTCTTCCCAATTCCCGCTCTCTTCGCCGTCTGCGGAAAATCTTTTTTAGTTATCTCGCGGCTACAAACTGCAATTACCGTGCTCGGCCCGCCTCCCCGTTAATCGATTGACCCCATTAGCATTTTTGTCTTCTTTGCTTTTTTGGTTTGTTTTGAAAACTTCAGTTCCCTTTTTTTGATTGTGACCTGATCGATAATAAATTTACAATGAAATATCAGGTTTCATAACAACAAATAAACCAATATCTAGCTATTCATCGCCAAGCTGCTGGCACATTGCGCGCTCCAATCGACTATCGCCCTAGTGGGATACGCGGTGGGGGCGGCGAGCGCGACGCGATTTGCGGGCGGAAGTACCCACACCCACACCAATAACTGCAAGAACCGGAATTTGCGTTTTTGTCATGTACCGAAGGAATTGATCTTTGAATGAATACACAAACACTCACAGCTCATCAAAACATCAGTAACGCAGTAAAATTCGAATGACAATAAGTCTAGGCATTCCGAACGACACTGCCTGCTATGAATAGTATACAGAACTGTTTTTGTGAGCGTATTATTGTGTAAGTCTAACTGAAAAACTACTCTGCCAGGGCATAGCCATAGCCATAGCAAACCGTGCTGGAATCAGTCCACATCAAACTGCTGTTTTGTTCCGTTTCGTTTTTTACCACTCTGCTTTGATAAAGCGAATTCTGATGTGGCGAACACCTGTTTGACTGACTATGTATTTGATTTTGCGGTTGAATATGCTACCTGCCACCCATGGATAAAGCGATGTTTCTGGTATTTTAGCGCTCATAGAAAGCTGAAGATTAGTATAATTTCAAAAAATTATGTGCGCTCAGAAAATGTTATGAATTCCGATGATTCCCATTCACTCAAAGATTTTATCACCGAAACGTCCTGCATCCAACAATTCAGAAGATTTTCATCTCGGAAACGAAAAGAGTAATAATTTCAGGTCGCTAGACTTGTGTCAAAATTCTAACACTTTAAGGTAAAAGCTTTCGAGCGAATCCGTTTTGCATCGCTTAAAGGCACGGTTCATGATGAAAATTGTTTCTGCACGGTTCATGATAAAATTGTTTCTGAGTTCTCCCTCTAGGAATACCCAGTGGCCCCCAAGGGTAACAGGAAGGACGCTGTCGAGTCCCGAAACTCAACAGCTAGGACGTAGTGGGAGCCCAGGTGCCGGAACTTCTCCTCGAATTCCCACGGCAAGCGGCAACCTTATTCCGAGAACAATCCCCATAAGAATCAGCGAAGAGCTACTCCCACGAGGTGAAAATGTTCTCTTCCCTTGACGAAATTTCCCTCTGGACCTAGAGTTTGGCCTCACTTTCCTTCTCCATCTTCGCATAACTTACTACTTGCCACAAATACCTTTTACCCTTATTATCGGACTTCAAACTCCAGTCCTCTTACCATGAACAGGCAATTATACCTTCACGTTACACCCTCTGTCATCATAGCTACTGTGCAGACTTACCACCAGCTTTATAGACAGTTAGCTTCAGGACTGCGGCCCAATTCTTAAACTCATTCATATGGTAGATCTTGATTGGATTCCGGGTCTACTAGCCTGGCTCCCGAAGTTCGAACGGTCCTCTGGTCCCAACATCATTACCGCCTCAAAGAACTTTGTTTAAAACCCTTGGACGCCCGGCGACGTCACCACACGCAACAGAGCTGTAAGCAAAATAGCCGTCAATCGTGCAAAAAAAGCGCGCAATGTCTGCAACACATGTAAAACATCGCCACGCAATTCTGCACAACACAAGTCGATTTTAGCTTCTAGTATAAGCCTTTCAGTTTCTTTTCAGCTTCCTTCTTTCTCTGAATATTGCTTGCTGTTAGGTAGAGTGATGAGATGATTAAATACTCGGAAAATGTTGTCATAGCGAACCAGGGTACTTATTGCGTGGTTTCCTAGCTTTATTTTGTATCGATAGCGCTGTCAGTAGTGCTGTAAAACAGATTTTAGCGAAGCCAGAGGAGTTTTTTTTATGCTCCGCATTTTATTTGTTGTATTAGGGTTCGAAGTCTTTTAAAAATAGGCCCGACATGATGCGCCGTTCTCATAGATTCTGCAATTTCTCCGGATATTGAAACTCAGCAGATTCCCAGTTTGAGAGTAAAGCACAGTTTTTGTGTGAAGAGATAGTTAGTTTTACTGTAGTCGTTACGTGCCTATGAAGAGCGGGGCTTGTTTTGTAGCGAAATTTCTAAAGATAGACTTTTATTTTATTGATGTTATTTCAGACGACATGCTGTCTCTGTTGGGTCGATCGAGCTCGTCCGCGTGTCGGCCGGCGGTGCTGATCGTCGCCCAGACACATGCTCAATCCACGACGCCGGCCACAACCACACAGCACGACGTTCCTGAGCCTCGTATTACTTCCCAGACGGCTCAGTTTAAAAAAGGAACTGGCGGAAGGTGAGGTAATCCAACCGTACTCAAACTAAGCTAGAGCTAGTACTGTAAATGTTCCATTGAGGACTGTAGCGCAGAGGAATAATGTAGGCGACTTTGCGAACCCATAATGATGCTTAGGAATGTTTCTTACATTCTTCGTGTTACAAATACTTTTTTACCAAAGTCTGAGAAGAGAAGGAGCTCCGGGGTAGGTGAGCCAAATATGTTCAATTTTTACCGCATCTCATCTCAGCTTTTTGAACGAGGAAATCATCTCATCCACCCCGTAGCTCTTCCCCTCCTGAGGGTTAGGTAAAAACAATATTGTCCACGCTAAAAGCCATCTCTGAGTGCAAGTAAATTTGGCTACCCCTCCTTTTCTGCGCTCTAGCTTCAATGATTCGAAGGGCGCTGGTACCTACAACATTTTTACCTAACTATGTAATATATCCATATTATTGATTAACGGTCTATTCAGGGCCTCATTTTCTGGAAATGTTATCACAGTGTTCGGTGCTTCCGGCTTTATGGGCCTTCCTGTTATCAATAGATTGGCCAAGCAGGGAGATCAGCTCATCATACCATATAGGTAAAGGATTTATTCGACCATTCTCTTTAGGGATTTTGCAAATTAAAGGTTTATGAAACCAATCGGTTTTTTTAAGTTCCATGGTTTATTTGTTCATATTTCAGGCAGGATCCTTATTATATGAAAGAGCATAAAATCCCTGGTGAATACGGGCAAATTCTTTTCTTCCCTTTCGAACTGAAGGATGAAGCAAGTATCAGGAAGGTCAGTAGCAATGCCAGCTTGGCATTTACTCGCAGTGCGCATGTTCCAGGATCGCCTTTTTTTATATTCTTACTTGTTGAATCCCTATGTTTTTGTGTTAAGGGTGTCCTAGACAGGGGTAAGATTTTCTCCGAGCAGGGTAAGTCACTGAAAATGTCTTGATGCGTCACTATTGAGCAGGTTCAAATCGGGAGAAAGGAAAAACCGTCCGCCTTGAGGGTTTACTTACAATTAGTATTTACCAGTAATGGGTATTCGGTGGAACGAAGAGCTTCGTTCCTCATGCTGAATCCGCTTCATGCAAGTTCCTTATATTTAGGCTATGTAGATAATTCTGGCAAATCAAAAACTATTCCAACTTAATAACACTTCTGATCCTTCTGGTTTTTCAGGCGGTCAGGTACTCCAACATCGTTATCAATCTTATTGGAACTACGGTCCCAACTAAGTGAGTTTTGTAAGTCTTTTTACATTTTCTTATCGAAACTGTTCCAATATTTTTGTATGTAGGAATTACGACTACTACGAAGTTCATCAGCACGGTGCTGGCCGACTTGCGAAAATCTGTCGTGAGATGGGTGTGGAGCGTTTCGTTCATGTGTCAGCTCTGGGAGCAACAACTACTCCCGGAAAAGGTCATTATGTGAAGGAATCACAATTCCTTCGCAGTAAGGTGATTCCTGCAAACTTTCTGTGCCCTTTTTTTGCCACGCTTTTTGCTGGTAGTTGGAATTGACGGACAAAACAGCGTTTACTACATTGTTGAGCATAGCGTGCTTCAGGGTTTTGGAGAACTGGTTGTGCGAGATGAGTTCCCCTCAGCGACAATTGTTCGTCCATCTCTGATATATGGAGAACTCGATGGTTTTATTACGTATTATGTGAGCAGATGGCGCAAAATGCCATATGATTGGGTGTATTTATACAAGAAGGGCGAGCATACCTACAAGATGCCTATCTGGGTACGTTGTATTCGTTGACCTCATTTTTATTGCTTTTTTGTTTTTTTGATCTGGAAAGATGTGTACATCATACAAATTGATCGGAAGGCTTTCGGGTCACGTTTGATAGCATTAAATATTGAGTAGCATTGAGAGTTACATTTTAGTCTGCATTCCGTATCTCTAGCCTCTTCATTGCACAGTATAAAAATAGTTATTGATTTAGTATCCACTTAAATCATCACGTTTTTGAACGCTTAGCCTGGTTAGGCCTTTGGCCTCTATCAAGAGACTTATTGATGAATTCAATTAAGAATGGTGACGTTGCTGCTGGACTTGATCGGATCGTACGAGATCCTACTTCAGCAGGTCAAACATACGAATTCGTTGGACCGCACTGCTATCAGCTCAGTGAGCTAATGGACTTCATGTATAGAAAAGCGAAATGCATCGAGGAATTAGGATTCAGGTACGTTGTTTCGCTCATCAAGTCGGTCAAGATACAAAAGTTTGGAATGCAGAGCCTTTCAACGTTGNGTTGGTTACCTATATCCAGAGACTTTTTCTACATTGCGAAGAACTGCGCTGGAATTTTCTTATCAGAAATTTGGTTGCTGTCAATAACTCATGCAATCTTCGCCGTCCTTTGGTGTAATACCACTGCCATCACCTCATTTGCTTTTTCCCGTCGCTTCGCAATATACTGAATCATTTGTTTTTAAACAATATCGTAAAACATTTTAGAGTTTTATTCGGATACTATGAGGAATTTTCGTGTGTTTCAGTTATCGGCGTCATGACTACCCTGATCCATACTTCAAGCTGCTAACTTGGCTAACAGAAAAGTGGGGTCGCTACTTCAAGTGTAAAGTCCCACTCAATCGTGAATGGATGGAGTATGTGGTAAGCATCCAGTACAATCAATATTTAGGAAACTTATTGGTTTGTTATACTTTCTTATTGCCAAAACAATTATTCCTTCCCGCAGGAGGTCAAAGACGATGTTTTAACCGGTCAAAGAACGTTGGCCGACTTAGGCATTCGACGTTTGACTGAATTCGAATTTGCCGGAGGAAGGATAGCGTTTTACCAGAATTTCATAAAATACTTCGAAGAGCAGTACGGAGAACTGCCCGCTCCTCCTTTGCCTTTGAGGTGGGTTTTTTCTGCCTAAATCGTGATCAAGAGAATATGATAGGCATTCTGTTTTCATCGCAAAATGAATGCGGTTGGGGGCGATCTCGCTAGATTCTATTTGAATAGTCTTCCTCACATTGATCCTCTTTTATTGTCAGGTCTCCGCCCATTGTGAGAAAGCCTGATGCGGAAAAGAAGGAGGCATTTGGCAAAGGATTGGCTTTCAATTAGGCGAAATCCATCTCGGCGTCGTAGATTTCTTAAAGAAATTGTAGAATAAAAGTTGTGAGTAGCTTATGGTTCTTTACTAGATAGTTCTAAAGCAGTCATTTATAAATTGTCGGAAATCTGATAATTTGATAAGCAAATGAATTTTAAAATTGTGTTTTTGATTAGCTGGTAAACACAGACGCTATACCGCATCTAAAAATTTGAGTAAAATAATGATTTGTATACTGTTTTTGTTATGGCACCAGCAAAAGGGGTCTGGCCACATTGGTTGAGTTTGATTCCCTTTTTCTGTTGTGTAGAATGAGCGCTTTGAACGGTTGTTGGCCATCGTGGCGTTCTCGGAGGGGGTGATGGGCGAAAACTTGCTCAGCAACTTTGTCCGGCACCGAAAAGCGTTAAATCGAAAGGAACTTTGTGGACCTTCACAGAATTGTTTCTGTTTTTTTTAGTCGGTGTTCAATATGGCCACCATTTTTCGATTTAAAATGAAAGGCGAGTAGTCTATCTATTCTCTGCATAGATTGTTCATGTTCTACGAATTTGCAGCTTTCATCTTTTCGATATCAAAGAGTCGAACTTGATAGTATGGATAGTACGATAAAATCCTAATTTTCGTCGGTGAATGGCCGCTTTCAGACCTCGACGTCCGTCCGTCCGCCCACGCGTGCGGGCTGCGACGGCGGTCGCTAGAGTAGCGTTGACAGCGCTGGCACGTGATCCAGTGTTGTCAACAAAGGTCAGGCGCCG